ACAGGTGTGTCACATAACCCCAGAGAATACGGTAAGTGTCGCCTATGGGAGTGCAGCTCCGGTAAGTTTATGCCTGTATTCCCCTATTTAATGCTATTTACCCCCAATTATTAACCAACATATTGTAATATAAATGATGCGATCGTATCATTAGATCATTAAATTATAATTTTTTATTTTTAAGGTCACAATAATTATGTGTTTAATTCGGAAAATTGAGAAAATACTTGTCAAAGAAAGTCATGAATTTCTTTTGTTATGTCTATTATTGGAAATAATTTCAATTCAAATGATTTACACATAAATTCTCAACATTTTATATAATATTTGTTATTTTTCTATATGTTTTCCATCAAATATATTAATGTTTTGTTATTACATGTTTATTTACAATAATAAATGAAATTCTAATTGCGATAATTGTTTATTCAAACATAACTTGTTAGGAATTACCAGAATATGTGTCTATTTTGTTTAATTATATAATTTTGTATATTTACAACGATGTGACTTATATTTATAATTACGTGATGTAAAACCTGTTTTTTATAGTTATGTCTCAGATGTCTATGTGATCTCCAGTGCAGCCAAACGTCAATTAATGTGCTTTTTTCACTGCCTTTCCTCATAAGCTATACATCCTTTCAAACCTTAAATAACAACTGAGTTGTCATAAAATGCTATTTTTGTGATGTTTTGTGAGTTTTCATAATTATTCGAAATGTATAATTCTATAAATGTGTTAATTCTGGAAATTTTCGCAATTTCTTACATTAATTTTTTCATTATTTGTGAAGCAAACACAACGTAAGTATTAATAAACAAATATTTATAATTTAAGTTTATTGTCTTTAAGACTGTAAACATCTAATACATTGTGTATTCTTTAATAACAGAATATATTCTTAATGTGTTTATTATTTTGTTTCCATTATTAGTAGAAAAGTGTCAGAAGTTTCACGAATATTACATAATATTACGGACGGATACGACAAGAATATACGGCCTAATTATGGAGGTTTATGCTCTCTCTCTCTCTCTCTCTCTCTCTCTTTAATTAGTTATTAAAACACAGGTTTTATAATAATCAAAGCGTGTAATTTTTAAGCGAGTTTTAGAAAATACTACTTTGTAGTAGAGTTAACTCAAATATTAGTTTTGATTTTTTGTGTGTTATTTGTTATAAGTTTTAATGTAAGAAATATATAAACTATTGCAAGTGAAATGTCTTTTATAATTAAATCCATTTATTTCGTAACATTTGTGACAAAATTATTGTTAAAATTCACATTAAATAAGCAATTGATAAACTTTTTAATGGACGTAAAGTCTATAGCAATGTCTTAACTCAAAGAAAAGACTATTAATTTGGGCACAAATAGTATTTGTGACTTTAAAGTCAAATAAGTGTGAAGTATTTATAATTATGATTTATACCAAGGTCAATAAAATTTTATAATTTTTTTACCATTAGTAAACATATTAAAAATAATCGGAGACTTATTGAAAATTGTTTAAGTGTAATAGATGGTTTTATAATTATTTGTGGTGCTATTTATAAAAAAAAGTTTTATAAAGAATATTATTTTAATAATTTAATTGAATATTCTACGTGTGTAGACAAATAACTTTTAAAAATATAATTATAATAAAATATTAACACATTAAATATTATAGGCATTCCTGTTCACGTAAATGTAACAATGTATTTAAATGATATAAGTGCAGTATCGGAAGTAACGATGGTAATAACTTATTGTGCTGATTTACATTGGTTACCATATTTACAAAAAACACGTTTAATATATTTTCATTGAAAGGACTATACATTGGATTTCTATATCCGTCAGCTCTGGAACGACGAGAGACTGGTGTTTAACTCGTCTTCGGTTTCAGAGCTAATCCTTGGGTCGGAGTTCTCGAAGAAGATATGGATTCCCGACACCTTCTTTGTCAATGGAAAACAGGCATCGCTTCACATCTCAACCACCACTGAGTCTAATGTCTTGCTTAGGATTAAACCAAACGGTGATATACTATACAGTCTTAGGTATTAGAAGATTTATTGATCAAATTAGTTCTTGGAAATAGGATTCACGTGTAACTTGTTTTGTATATATATAAATAGAGAGAGAGAGAGAAAGAGAGAGAGAGCATAAACCTCCATAATTAGGCCGTATATTCTTGTCGTATCCGTCCGTAATATTATGTAATATTCGTGNAGAGAGAGAGAGAGAGAGAGAGAGAGAGAGATTATTATTTTATAAAATATTTTTGTAAATAATTTATATTTATTTTTGACATCTAGTTAATATAATATAAGTTGAAGTGATATAATCTATAATAAAAGTATTAACTATTTAAAGGCTAACTGTAGTGCTTTCGTGTCCAATGGATTTGAGGCATTTCCCAATGGATATGCAGTTGTGTCAACTAAAAGTGGCCAGTTATGGGTACAGCACAGCAGACATTGACTATCACTGGGCACAGGGTTTCGACACGTTTGGCATTAGAGAAGGACTATATTTGCCAACGTTTCAGATCCAGGGCTACCGGCGATTCAAGAAATACAAATTATTGAGCACTGGTATTGTCTATTAGTCCATTCTCTCTCTCTCTCTCTCTCTCTCTCTCTCTCTCTGTCTCTCTCTCTCTCGAGAATAAAATTAATTAAAATATAATGAGT